CAAGTACCAGAGTAGCCCGGGAAATTCTCAAATGGATTTGAAAATCTTGGTGAAGAGGCATCATTTAGAGAGGCTGGAGAGAAGAGAAAGGTACTGCAGCCTAGGAAACCCAATAAACAAAAATACAGAAGCAATAACACCTGGGTTCATACGGGAGCCTTTGAGGTGATCCCTAAGTGGGGAGGTATAGACATCCATTAGAAATGGATTGTACAGGAGGTGAAGGGCTTTGCACAGCAAGATGGACTTGGGTGTGGTTTTTGTGCATGACTAAGGGGTTTCTGCTTTGTGTGTAGGCATGGGCTACAGGAGGGCCTAGAAATTGCCCTCTCTGGAGCATATCCTTACCCCAGTGCAGTCAGAGAGATAAGGGCTCAAGTCCTGTTTATGCATTTAATAGCCTACATGATCTTGGGCAAGTATGTATCCCTGCTGAGTCCCATGTCTGTAAAATGGGGCTAATGCTACCTATTTCATTTGCTTATTGTATATGATATAAAACAGTGTTTACAAAGTACCTGGCACATGGTAGACTCTCAATTTTTGTTACATTGTTCCGGCTGTCAGCTTGTCTTACTGCTGGTATTGTTCCTGTATGTCTCTGTATTAAAGATCATGGAGGAATACAAGTATATTTTTTTTTCCTGAGAGGCTTTGTCTTAACTCTGAGATTCTTTCCTCAGCTGTTTTACTGTCTGGTCTCCTAAGCATGAGTTATGTGTCCAAACAGTAGTCTTTACAAGCCCATGGGTGGGATAGTAAGACCAGCTTGTCACTGCTTGTGACTCTGTTTCTGTACCTCCCAGCCTGTGTGACATCTTCCCCCATAGGGAGTCATTTCTACTTTGTCTTTAATTTCTCCTCGCCGAGGCAACTTGTCAGCCAAGGCTGCTTTCTGTCACTTGATGCCACATCTCTTCCTAGTTCAGCCCAGCCATTTGGGGACATTCATTTAGTTGACAGTCTGATTTTACAGACAACATTGTACCAGACACTAATTTGCCTTGTAAGGGGGTCCAGCAGGGTTTCCTGCCTCCATGCTGACCCAAGGTGCCAGTACACTTCTGCATGGCTGTGGCTGTGGTTCTGCACAGAGCAGGTGGGGAAGGTGAAGATATTAACAATGGAGAGTCCCAGTTGAGCATCACTGGGCTACAAGTCCCTTACCCTCCTGTCCTTTTTCCTCTTGGTAGAAAAACCTTCACAGAATCTCAGTTCAGGACCCTGTCCATTTCCAACAGAAACTCAACACCACGGGTGATGAAGATATAGGATTATTTCTTCCTAGTTTTGTGTACCAGTTTAGAATTGTCGTGTCCTACTATGTCTAACATCCCGTTTGATCTTGACAACAGCCCTGTGGGGTAGGAAAGAGGGACAGTTTGTAGAATAGATATCTAGGCTCTTACCTTTGGAATAAATAAAATGGGACTCAGAAGGGTTATTCAGCTGTCAGTGAGAGTGATGTTGGCTTTTTATTCACAACAGTGAAAATTCCGTATAAATAGACAGATAATTTCAGGGCCATGGAGTAGATAGAGCACTCACCTTCAAAGAGCCTTTGAGAGAAGTCTGGTTATCTCTGTCTGGCCAGTTTCTGGCCCTTGATTCTCTTACCTATCTCTTCAGAAATCTTCATTCCAGCTATCCACCTTCCCTCCCAGTCTCAGTCAGGTACCCTTCTTGCAGAAGAGTTCCTCTTCACTGCTCTTGTATGTTGTTAAAAGCCTTTTTTTTTCCTCCTTTTTATTCTGTCGCCAGCCTCCTGTAGGAATGCCTGATCTCTCTTTCTGTGTATTGTTCCATGGGGCCAAGCCTCCTTCTGTCCCTTTGGGATGACCTATTGTTATACATTAATAATTAACCTTTACTAGGAACTCTAGTCATAGGCATTTAACCCAAATGCAGAAAAAGCCAAAGTTTGTTTATGACAAAGAGATCTCACACGCTGAGGTATAATAGCAAGGGTTAGAAAGGAGAAGCTGACGTTCATTAAACTTTTATGATTTCTTTTCTGGTTTACTCACTTGAGTGATTGCCTGAGGATCCTGCAATATTTCCCTTTGCACATGGTCAGCCCAGTTTAGCTAAAATGAAACATTCCGCTTTTGAATTGTGAAATTGAGCATGCATGACTTTCCATGTAATGTTAAAGATAAGCCTCACAGGTGCTGCTAGTGGGGCCTGGTTCAGAGCACGTGGACCCTGGGGCTCAAATGCCTAGGTTCGAGTCCTGCTCTGCCACTTATCAGCTGTGTGCCTGTGGGCTGGTTCCCTAACTACTCTCTGTGTTCGTTTTCTTCTGCATCTGTAAAATAAGGGAATGATTACAGGTATCTCAAATGGGTGTTGTCTGTATCTAATGGGATGGAGAGGTGTTAAATCCTTACTACAGTGCCTGGTAGTAGGTGCTGAATAAGGGTTAGTATCATTATTTTCAATGTTATTGACTATGGTTAGGTCCATGGTCAAGGTTACATAATAGCGAGTCATTTTCAATGCTTCATCATGGTTATATATCACTCTTACAATACCCATTAGAATGCAAACCGCTTTGCTTGATTCTCTCCTGCTGATGGGAGATGGGAACTAATTCTAAACTTGGATGTGAGGGATTATATGATATGTGCTGGAATGACCCATCCAATTAACTTTCTCTCACAGATATGGACAGATGAGGCTTATTTTAGAAATTAGCCATTGTTGTTTTGGAGATGATAATATAACCTTTTCAGGGCTGTGGAAAGAACGAAATGAGATTAACAGTAACGCTCCAAATAGCTGTGACTTTTGTGCCCTGATGATATCCCATTCCTAAGTGCTTTAAATGTTTTAAATCATTTTATTATTACAAAATAGTTTGTTTATTCCTATATTCCCAATTTCAGGAGAGGAAACAGACGCAGAAAATTTACTTTGCCAAAGTCACATAGCTTGTAAGTAGTAAATGTGGAATTCAAACCTAAATCTGGGTCCTGACTTAGAATTTGAATAAGCTAATATAAAGAAAATAGCAAAGTAGTTGATATGCTCAATATTCAGATCCTTGTCTATTTCCCTTCCATTGTTTTCTGCTTATTAAGCTTTTATGGATATGACATTGCTTAGAAATCAGAGCACCAAAAACCATTCTAGGGTACTATATCAAATTTCAGTTCAAATAAGAGTAAAACTTTTGTGAAATTCTAATTTCAGGGAGAAAGATTAATTTCTGCTTTTAGATGGATTGTACCCGGTTTAGAAAATCATAACAGACTTTTTTTTCATAGATTATTGGGGTTCAGGTGGTGTTTGGTTACATGAGCAAGTTCTTAAGTGGTTATTTGTGAGATTTTGGTGCAGTCATCACCCAAGCAGTATATACTGCACCCTATTTGTAGTCTTTTATTCCTCACCCTCATCGCACCTTTTCCCTCAAGTCCCCAAAGTCCATGTATCATTCTTATGCCTTTGCGTCTTCATAGCTTAGCTCCCACATATCAGTGAGATCATACGATGTTTGGTTTTCCATTCCTGAGTTACTTCGCTTAGAATAATAGTTTCCAGTCTTATCCAGGTCACTGCAAACGCAATTAATTCATTCCTTTTTATGGCTGAGTAGTAGTCATATATGTGTGTGTCTGTGTGTGTGTGTATATATATACACACACATATATACACACGCATATATATACATATATATGTATGTATATATATATATATCACAGTTTCTTTATCCACTTGTTGATTGCTGAGCATTTGGGTTGGTTCCATGATTTTGCAATTGCAAATTGTGCTGCTATAAACATGCGTGTGCAAGTATCTTTTTCGTATAATGACTTCTTTTTCTCTGGGTAGGTACCCAGTAGTGGGATTGCTGGATCAAATGGTAGTTCTACTTTTAGTTCTTTAAGAAATTTCCACACTGTTTTCCGTAGAGGCTGTTAGACAGTCATAACAGATTTTTTTAAACTGCCATCCTCACTTTCTCCACCTACCTACCCACTCTGCAGGACAGTGGCCATGGCTTTGCAGCAGTGTACACTAACCTTGGGTAGGGCACGGAGGCAGAAAGCTCTGCTGGACCTCCTTACAAGGTGAATTAGTATCTGGTTCCGTATTCTTTGTAAAATCAGACTCTCAACTAAATCAATGTCCCTGGCTGACTGACTGACTGAAATAGGGCTTCAGGGTGTCTCATTCTACCACTATACAGAGGGCACATGCAATGTGGAAAAAATAAAAACAAAAACAGACCTCTGTCCCCACCAGCTTTTAACACTTAATCTTTTCTTTAAAGTAACACATCCACATGGTTGAAAAAAAGTCTAACACTATAAGAGGGCACAGTGAAAAGTAAATCACCCTCCCATTCCAGAATATTAATCCCACAAATATACTCCCCAATGACAATTTTATAGTTACAAAGAGACTTTATGCTTACTGGAGCATATATACATATAATGCTCCCACACCCCCACACTTTTACACAATAATAGCATAATGCACCCTCCATCCTGTTCCTTGACAATTCCACTTAACAATGTGACTTGGAGAGCTTCCACATCAAAACCAAAAGCAATACCTTGTTTGCAAGGCCTGCCTAATATTCCATTATAAAGCTGTGCCGTCTGCTGTTGATGGTCATTTAGGTTGTTTCTGGTGTTTTACTAAGGATGCTTCAGTAAATCACTTTGTATGAGGTATGTGAATCCATGCAACTCAATCTCTCTTGATTTTTATTTGCAAGCTTATGTTGTATAACTTTCTGACAACACAAGAAATTGGCCAGGAGACAAGAGAAATTCTGTAGAAATATAGAGGCTTTTTTTAGAGCTTGTGTGCACATCAGATGTTTCTTCAGATACTTTTTTGATTCCTGTGTCTCATTGTTTCTCATGTTGTTTTGAACTATGTCCTGAAGCTTCTTCTTGGGTCATTTTTCCAGGTGCCCAGTGAGTGATGGATAGATACTGTTTGCAAGATTGATTCACATGGCACTTTTGTTTGGCTTTTGACAGGTTGTTTATAAGAATAATGACATCCGTCTGGAGCTGTCTCGCCTGGCCCGAATTGGGGACACCAAGATGAAAATCTATGGCGAAGTAGTATTTAAGTGTGAGAATGTGGCCACACTAGACCCCATCAACTTCGAGACCCCAGAGGCTTACATCAGCTTGCCCAAGTGGAACACTAAGCGTATGGGCTCCATCTCCTTTGACTTCCGTACCACTGAGCCCAATGGCCTGATCCTCTTCACTCATGGAAAACCCCAAGAGAGGAAGGATGCTCGGAGCCAAAAGAACACAAAAGTAGACTTCTTTGCTGTGGAACTCCTTGATGGCAACCTGTACTTGCTGCTTGACATGGGCTCTGGCACCATCAAAGTGAAAGCCACTCAGAAGAAAGCCAATGATGGGGAATGGTACCATGTGGACATTCAGCGAGATGGCAGATCAGGTAGGAAGAGGCAGGATGTGTGACTGAAACTAGACAAAAGCTGTAGCTTCTCAGTTTGTTTTTTGGCTTTATATTTCTTAATTTTCGCTTTTGCATGCTTGTTGATTCTTTTGCTACTCTCTTTAATGGCTGTTGTAAAATTATGTTTCTGAAAAGATACCTGTCTCATAGATGGCTCACATTCTCCACTTCTCTCTCTTGTCACTCACTGCACAATTGTCTCAGTGATAGCTCTATGATCCTGGAGCTAAGGATGGTTTTACAAGTAGCATTTCCAGTGCTACCAGAGCAACTCTCATGTCACTGGTGTGATCTGCCCCCATTCCCCCATTCTTTGCTTCTCTTTTTCCTCATCACCATGGAAACCGATTGTGACATCATTATGTGATTATTCTGTAGGATAAACTTCACTGTGCAAGAGTTTATGCAACAACACACCCTTCAATAATTGGCAAGAGTCATGTTGCACGGAGAAATTATGACAAGAAAGGAAAAGGCAAATTGATTTTTCCTGAAGATACATTCAATTTAAAGCCTTCCTTTGGTGTAAAAGCCTATATTTCACTCTTTGTTCAGACCTCACTAACTCTCTTCCTCTTCATAACCTTTTACATTTTGTTTAAATGGCTTCATTTCTGCAGCTGCAGATCAAACAAGCTAGCCCCAGGCAGTACATAGCTACTATGGAATAGTAACAAAGTGGGGGTAGGGGTGGGGCAAAATAGTCAGGGATTTTTGAATGCCTGGATAGTCTGCCTAGCTTTCTCTGGACCATGTGGCAATGAAGGTCACATTCTGTGCTATCGGAAAGGGCATTTTCCCAAGAGCAGTAATTAGAGCATTAGCATTTCAGACTCATTTCCTGGTTCTCCATTTAGGTAGGATGTGTTCAAGAAGGGTCTTGGCTTCATGTGCCATATTTATAGAGATTCACTCTCCTGATGAACATTAAAAAGTCTTTATTTGGGTATTTTCTTTCTAGGTACATTTGGCCAGTAAGAGAGAGCAATAAGTTCCCCAAAAGGCTGAAACTGGGAGTGACTGAGCTTTGGTGGGTTGACTTTTCTGCATAATTCCAAAGCTAGGCTGATGGCAGAGATAGCAACATTGCCCTTAGGAAGAGCTGGATGAATTCTTTGCAGAGGGCAGACGGATGGCAGATTGCAGCCCTGGCTATTTTATTGCCCCATAGAAATCTTTATTGGTTGTCTGAAATCTGATCAGAACCAAGAGCCTTCAAATTAAATGTGCTCATTAAGCAAGAATGAATAGTGTTCTTTTTACACAGAAAAACACCCCCAAAATTAATTTCTTTGGAGGCTAAATCCCGCCACACTCCCCATCCTTCTTCTTCTTTTCTTTCTCTTTCTCTGTTTTTCAGTAAAATGACAGCAAGGGCAGAGTCAGAAAGCTGTTCCAGAATTATAAACAAAACATTGCTGTTGGTTTTTAAGAGCATGTGTTTGGGATCTCTGAGGTTAGGTCATGGTGGACGGGTTTTGTGTCTGACTAACCTAGACCTTGGCACAGCATAAAAGTTACCTACCTGTGTCACAGGTAGGCTAAAACACACAAAATTGCCATATGTTCATTTCTGTCTGCTCCTAATACAATATATTTTTTGCAAGTAGTGGAACAATTTTTGTTGTTTGAACCACTGGTAGACCCAACTTCAACAAATATGTTTGAATTTCAGAAGTCTTAAATTTCATACCTGGGAGCTAAAGCACTGGCTAATTCGTTTTTTTTTTTTGAGACAGAGTTTCTCACTTGCTGCCCAGGCTGGAGTACAATGGAGCAGTCTCGGCTCACTGCAGACACTACCTTCCAGGTTCAAGTGATTCTCCTGCCTTACCTCCCAAGTAGCTGGGATTACAGGCACCTTCCACCACGCCTGGCTAATTTTTGTATATTTAGTAGAGACAGGGTTTCACCACGTTGGCCAGGCTGATCTCGAACTCCTGACCTCAGGTGATCCACCCACCTTGGCCTCCCAAAGTGCTGGGATTACAGGCGTGAGCCACTGCGCCCGGCCTAGCCAATTTTTTGAACTACTGATGAATTTGATCAAAGCCTATAAAAATGTACTGAGTAAACAAACAATTGTCCCATGAAAGCAGTATAATCTAAAATTTTAATACAATCTGTTAAACTTTCATTTTTTTATGAGAATGTTTTCTGGTAACTTGTTTTAGATTATAAATCTATACTAAGGGGTAGTTATAAAAACAAGTGTATCTAAATGTGGTACCTCCTTCCCTGCTAATCTTGAAGAATAATATGACTAACAGTGATCTAGAAAAACTTTTATAATCACTCCTCACCTGGGCAAGTGAGTCTTAGAACTTGTTAAGTGCATTCAAAACTGTTGTGGTCACACATTCAGAGGACAGATTTTCCTCAGGTTGTCTTTAAGGCTCTAAAATTTAAATTGATTCTAGTATTGTCTTTACTTGGCAATAGATGTCCCCCCGTTTTAGTTGGTGATCAGATTAGCCCTGTGGACATGTGAGGGGTAAAGATAGAAAACTATGCAACAGAGAAAATAGTAAGAGATACAGACCTCAACTTCCCCCTTTGTAAGATAGAGAAAATAATAACTCCTACCTCCCAAGATTGTTTTGAGGATCAAGTCCAAAAATGCACCTAAAATAGTTAAAATGGTGGCCAGGACATTATTGTTGTTATATGTGTTTGAAAGATTAAAAAACAAAAAGCGAAGCGTATTTGTCTAGGAGAAAACTTCTAGGAGGGAGTAGGGAAGCAGATTGTTAAATTCCCCTTAATATCCTTTCTATGTTTCTATTCTTGTGTTGACTTTGTACTTTATTTATTTTTTTTAACTTTAATTAATTAATTAAATTTTTTGAGTGCTAGTCTCGCTCGCCACCCAGATTGGAGTACAGGGGCACGATCTCAGCTCTCTGCAATCCCCGCCTCCCAGGTCCAAGGAATTCTCCTGCCTCAGCCTCTCGAGTAGCTGGGATTACAGGTGCCTGCCACCACAACTGGTTAATTTTTGTATTTTTAGTAGACACGGGGTTTCACCATGTTGGCCAGGTTGGTCTTGAACTCCTGACCTCAAGTGATCTGCCCTCCTCGGCCTCCCAAAGTGCTGGGATTACAGGTGTGAGCCACTGCGTCCAGCCGACTTTGCACTTTAAAGTGTATATGTTTTATTCTTGATGTCATTTGATTTTCACAGCCCTTCAGGTTATATACCCTTCATAGCTAAAGAAACTGAGAATCAGACAGAGGTGAAGGTGACTGATGGATGGCACGACCCATTTATCTTGGTACCAATAAAGCACATCAAGAATAATAAATACCTATTTTTAAATTTCTGACAGGATGTTTAGATATCACCTAGTCCATTTCCTTAATTTTCTAGTTTGGGAAATTGAGCCATAAAGTGGTTCAGGGACTGGCCTAGGGTCATAAAGACATTTAGGACTAGAATCCCAGTTCTCAAGGTCCCAGGTTAGCTTGTGGAGTTTCATCTTCTACAATCTCATTCAATGCTGTCCAAACTCCATCCCCTTTCCGGGTCTGCTTATCTCTGACTTGATCTCCTGCTCACCTCCTCTTGCCTTCTCTGTTCTAGCCACACTACTTCCTACCTCAGGGCCTTTGTAGGTTCCATCCCCTCTGCCTGGCATGCTCTCTCTCCTGGACTTTGCATGGCTGCATCCTTCTCAACATTCTGGTTTCAGCTTAACTTTTACCTGCCTAGAGAGACCTTCAGTGACTCTACATTTTAAAGTAGAATACGTGAGTAGCTAGCACACCACCCATTTTATTCTTTTCCTAGCACCTGCCCTTAGCTAATTTATTTCATTTATTAGGTTACTTATTGTATTAGTCCATTCTCATGCTGCTAATAAAGACATACCCAAGACTGGATAATTTATAAAGGAAAGATGTTTAATTGAATCACTGTTCAGCATGGCTGGGGAGGCCTCAGTACATTTACAATCATGGTGGAAGGAGAAGCAAACACGTCCTTCTTCACATGGCAGCAGGAGAGAGAGAAGTGCAGTGCCAGCCAGAGAAATGCCAGATACTTATAAAGCCATCAGATCTTGTGAGAACTCACTCATTATCATGAGAACAGCATGGAGGTAACTGTCCCCATGATTCAATTCGCTTCCCACCAGGTCTGTCCCACAATGTGCAGGGATTATGGGAACCACAATTCAAAATGAGATTTGGGTGGGAACACAGCCAAACCATATCATTTATTTTCTGTCCCTCTGTTCTGGAACATCTGCTCAATGAGAGGAGAGACATGCCTATCAAGTTCATCTCAGTGCCTAGAACTATACCAGAGACAGAATAGGTCTTCCATACACCTTTATTAAATGATTAAATAAGGAATAATGTTTCAGTTAAAATGTATGACAGGGAATGCTCAAAATATTCACTGGCAGGGTTGGTAGTGAATGCCCAATCTAGAGAGTACCAGTGCATGGAGGGAGAGACAGAAGAGGAAGTTCCATCTTTTGGGGGTTGGTGAGCCCTTGAAGAAAACCCAGGCAAACATACAGAGGCCTCATTCTGTCTCAGTCACTCTTAAAAGTACTTTGCATATATTTGCTCATTTAATCACATCAACCTATGAGGTAGGAACAGTTATTTTCCCATTTTACAAATGAGGAAACTGAGGCACAGGAAGGTGAAGTCACTTCTTCAAGGTTATACAGCTCATACATGTTAGAGCTGGAATTTAACTACAGGCAGGAACTGTGCTGCTCTCAACCTGTATGGTCTCAGGCAAGAGGGTTAAGTAGAGAAAAGATACACTAGATGTCAGGTTACTGAGATTTTCCTGGGTCTTCCTAAGCACCAGGTTGACTTACCTGGCAGAGATTGGAACAAAGCGGCCTACATTGTCTTTTCCATTGTCTTGTAACATCCAGTTTTCTTGCTTGCATTGTTCTCTCCTGGCCAGCCAATGGCTGGTCTCAGCACTCACCTGTTAGGCTTCTTTCATTTGGTTAAGCAACTGGCAGACTCACCTGAGATCTGTCTTCCCACCCCAGGTACTATATCAGTGAACAGCAGACGCACGCCATTCACCGCCAGTGGGGAGAGCGAGATCCTGGACCTGGAAGGAGACATGTACCTGGGAGGGCTGCCAGAGAACCGTGCTGGCCTTATTCTCCCCACCGAGCTGTGGACTGCCATGCTCAACTATGGTTACGTGGGCTGCATTCGCGACCTGTTCATTGATGGGCGCAGCAAGAACATTCGACAGCTGGCAGAGATGCAGAACGCTGCGGGTGTCAAGTCCTCCTGTTCACGGATGAGCGCCAAGCAGTGTGACAGCTACCCCTGCAAGAACAATGCTGTGTGCAAGGACGGCTGGAACCGCTTCATCTGTGACTGCACCGGCACCGGATACTGGGGAAGAACCTGCGAAAGGGGTGAGTCAGCCTGGAGGATGGCAAGTGAGGGCCTGAGTGGGGCTGGTGTCTTATAGTTGGATCCCTGGACAGTCCAAGCCTTTGCACCTACCTGCGCTTTCTTTCTTCCAAGAGTTTTTGGGTTTACTGATTTCCAGATTGCACCCTTTCTAGTTTTGAATGCTTGGGTTTGTTTGGCTAAGACTGAGTTGCAGAAAGGGAAGCTTTATAATAAATATTACTGTGATTCTGATACTTTTTGATTAAATATTTTTTATTTAGAGAGGATAAATAGTTCTCTTTTAGGACTCCAAGGGGGGCTAGCCAAATGGCTGTTTAATTCATTCATTTGACTTGTGCTTCTTTAGTGCTTTCTACAAGCTAAGTCCTGGGTTCAGCTTTAGAAATACAATGTTGAACAAGACAGATTCATCTCTGTTTTATAGAGCTTGCTGCCTAGTGGAATACTTAGCCCTTAAATAACTGATTACAAACATGGTGAGTTTTACAAGAGGCAGAGTGATGTATTGGTTAAGAACATAAACTCTGGGACCAGACTGGGTGAGAAATCTGGCCCTCATACAGTGATGGTAATTTCATCATGGTAGTCAATATCTCTGAGACTTGACTTCCTCATTTGTAAAATAGAAATGATGAGGCACCTACCTCACAAGATACTGATGATGATTAAATGAGTTAATATGTTCCTGAGCATTTAATGTTAGTGATTATTAAAGTCATAATTATTCTCATCAGCATCATTAAAGAGAAGGTATAGAGAAGCTTGGGAGGCCCTTGCAAGGAGACCCAACATACTATACAGGTTCACCGTATAGTGAGCAACCCTGACACAGTTGAGGACCTGAACAAAGTCCAGAATGAACTGGATGCTTTGTTCCTTTCTGAAAAATGTCCAGAATGGAATTGGGGAACTGTGGGGGTGGGGAAGAGGGGCATGAGAGGGGACCAAAGAGATGAGGGCTGACCCTGTAGGCCAGGTCAGAATGGTGGGAGGATTCCCTTTTCATTCACCACTTCAGTATCTGACAATTGCACCTGATTTACAGTTTAAGTAAAGGGCAGAGATAAAGGCAAGAAGAGGGACAACATCACCACAAGGAGATTCCTGTCAAGTTATTTGCAGGTTGCAACTTGGTCTATTTTTTTATATGCTGAGCACACCGAATCAAGTCCACAGGCTATCAGCTTCTAAATTCTATGAAAGGATAATTTGCATCAAGACCAAGTTTTTGCTAAGGGTATAGCTTTAGGGCTTTGAGAATGCTGTACCTGTATAGACATAGTTCTTGCCCTTAAGAAGTTTATCATTTATTTAGCTGAGGAGTTCAGACATCTATATAATAAGCTGTAATAAGATGATATAAGACAGTAGCATGTTAGTAGAGAGAAAAAAAGGACATGGAGATTCAGAGAAGAGAAGATAAGAACGTTTTGAGGAGAGACCTGCAGGGTCTCATCTCTACAGACCAATGGCCAGTAGCCAGAAATTGTCCAAGTATCAGAAGATAGGTGATGTGGATGGATCCTGGGCCAGGCCTGGAACAAGGGCTGAATGACCAGTTTTCAAGGCGTGGTTTTTGTGAGGCCAACTGTGGGGCCAACTGTGTTACTAGCGAAGGTATATTTCAAGAGAACTACAAACCTTCTTACAGTCAGATCAGAAATAGAATACAGGACACGAGGACAAAGGAGGAAAAGAGAGCTTTCTTAGAGCATATGGAATTAAAATTAAAATTCACGGAATTTTCAAGTCAGCAACCGCTAGAACAGGACCTATGATGAGGAAATACCCATCCAGGACAGAAATAGACTACAAGGGGCTGGTCAGTCTTTCAGGTGCCTGGGCTCTTTCTAAATATCTTTGTAGGGTAACCTATTCTGGTGCTGGTTGGGGAAGATAGAAAGGTCATTTTGTCTCTGAGATGCATGAGACAGTTTTGGTGTTTGCCAAAGTGTTGCGGATCTTCTGTTATCCATGAAGGCAGTATAAAGGTCATCTCAGACATCTCACTTCTTCTTCTTGGGTCTCTGCTTAACTCAAGGGCCTTGTGATTGTCAGAGGCAGGACACAGTGACTGTAGCCAGCTGTACAAGGTGTCTCTGAGCTCACCCATTTCAAGGGTGAATCGATGGGAGTTGGTCCAAAACTTGCCAAGAAGAGTGAAAGTCACTGCAACTTTTACATTGTCACTTATGACTAGTCATTAGAAGGCAGCTGATTGGGGATATATGAGGGACAATTATTCTTGGTGCAGTGCAGCCAAGAGTTATCCATTCTGGCCAAATGAGAAGAAGCTTAGCAAATTTAAGATACTTGATGTATACATCACTCAAATCCCAGACAGTTCAACTGATTGTTTTGTTCCCCTACTAATTGTTTTTTGCCCCTGGATTGTTCCTGACACCATGTTCAGAATGAATCAGTGGAGTGTAAAAATTATAGGACTCTTCTCTGCTAGCAAATAAAAGTTGAGATTCCCAATGACATTGTTTTTCTTTATTGAAACTGATTCCTTAGTGGAGACTCTTTTGAGTATCTTTTGTTCATTTTTCCTACAGGACGTTGACATAGATTGAAGCCCTGGTGTGTTCCAGGCAGTATGTTTGAGGTTAGAAATGCAACAAACAAACAAACCAAAACAGAAACACCAACCTGACACAGTCTTTACTTTTGAACAAGGGGTGTATAGTCCTCCCAGAGAAGCAAAGGGAAATGTGAGAAATGGTTAACATGTGGTTGATGTTATGGCAGATGTCTATAGGGAAACAGTAGGACAAACAGGTAAGAATGGCCACTTCTATATGGAAGGAGTGACAGCCCAGAGAAGGGGATCCAAGGTTTCTTGGATTTTAGGTCTCCTGTTTATAACTTAGGCATCCACTCTAGGCACTTCTGAAGAAGAGTGAAGAAAATGTGTTGGGCATTCTCTATACAGGAATGGGATCCTTTTTGGATTAAGGAGCCCTGCGCCATTCACCATAACAACGTCAACACAGTCACTCAGTTTGCCATTCTCTCTAATTGTTATTATGTAGAAGCATTCTAGAATAAATTCTAAGCCCAGAATGGATCATTTGTACTAAATGTGTTAAGCCCAAGACAGTTCTTAAGGCTGTGTGTCCCAGTAGCTCAAACTGTGTTCTCTGCTGGAACTTCCTTGGGGGTGAGTCCCTTGGTATCACCGGACCTACACATGAATGGGAGTGTTAGAAAGAAGCACTTGTGTATATACACTGAAGACAGCGTAGATGGAATGCTGAAAACTGGAGTTTTCATGGCCCAGGTCAGACACTAGACACTACATCAAAATAGCCCAATGACCCAAGCAAAGTCAGCAACAGATACGTCTAAGACACAATTCCTGGACCAAAGTCATCAGTCAAAGATAAGAGAGTCAGAGAATAAGGCCTGGGAAGTAGAAAGTGTTTGTGTATATGATACTAAGATTAATTTGCATGGGTATATTTCTCTTATAGTAAAATTGGATAACTCCTGCTTCTACCCTCATAAGAGTGCTTCTCCTGCTTGTGAAGATGAGCTACTCTAAATCTTGACGTCTACAAATCGGCTTGATATTGTATTTAGATTTTTTCATCATAATCTGCTGCTATTCTAAGATGTAGCTGTCTCTACCCATCCCAACTGTTTAGCTCTAGTTATTTTGGTTGGCTATTCGTAGTGATGTGAGAGACGTCTCCATGACCTAAAAAGCAAAGGCCTGTTTTAACTACTTAATTCTAATCAGATAGGTTGAAATTCTTTAAAGTCCTGGAAGACCACCTGCCATCCAGTGAAGTCCTGTTGGACAGAGGAAACAGTCTAGCTGGTCTTTAGCCTGCTCTGGAGTTAGTCCTACTTAAGGAGCTATGATAACTTGACCTGGGACAACATCTTATCTTTGCTGGTATAGCCAAACTGTCTAGTTCGATTGGTGAGTGTCAAGTTCCAGTAAGGCAAAGCCAAAGGTTTGATTTATTTGTAGGTCATGGAGCTTAAATTTTAGAGCATTGCTGAATCTATGCACTTTCCTGAATGGCTTTTTCTAAACATATGCTGGCATTTGTTTGGCAAGAAAGTAAATAAAGCTCAGCACAAGTTCATCCCAATGTCAAGAAAAATAACCTACAGTACAACATTTATCTGACGTATGCACCAGCTGAACATGAAAAATACAAATATTTTCACTTCTTTCCAGTGACTCTTGTTCCAGTGGGAAAGGCATGCAGCTGCTGCTCCTCTCCACTCAGGGCCTCCCTTTTTAGGCAACCTCCTATGTGATTCTGGGTAGCAGCAGCAGCAGCAGCAGCAGGTGATTCTGCCTGGAAAGGGTGAGACACCAGTCTTCAATGAGGCTGGATTGTGTCACTGAAATGCTACATATATGCCACATGGAAATCCTGTCGTAGGAAAATGGCAGGGTTGGCAGAGGCCAGGTGTGGTGGCTCATGCCTGTAGTCCCAGTACTTTGGGAGGCCGAGGTGGGTGAGTCACCTGAGGTCAGGAGTTCAAGACCAGCCTGGCCAATATGGCAAAATCCCATCTCTACTAAAAATACAAAAATTAGCTGGGCTTGGTGGTACATGCCTGTAATCCCAGCTACTCAGGAGGCTGAGGCATGAGAATCACTTGAACCTGGGAGGTGGAGGTTGCAGTGAGCCAAGATCATGCAGTTGCACTCCAGCCTGGGTGACAGAGTGACTCTGTCTCAAAAAAACAAAAACCGAAAAAAAAAGAAGAAGAAGAAGAAAAGAAAATAGGGAAAATAGTAGGGTTGGCAGATACCATTAGTGTTACCTGTACCTCATTCCTGTTTTGGTAAATGAGGAATTGGAAGCCCTGAGAAGTTAAGTCAATATCAGTTTAACTTGGAATAGCTATAGAATGGTTAGAATTCCTGATTCCTAATCCATCAGGCTTTCCATTACATTGAGCAGCCTTTCCCTCATATGTACTGTGATATACATATACTAGATGGTTTTTAAATGTTGGAGGGCTCCAG